GGCAGATATCCCGAAGGCCCCATTCCAAATTTAATCTAATCTAATCTATAAGGAGGTCTAAGAACGGAAGATAATTATTTTGAGCAGTTTCCATAGTGAAGGTTATAGCTGGATGTAGTGAATTCAAAAAGTCAAGTAACAATGTTAATTCATGTGCGTTTCCATCGAATAGGACCAAGCAATCGTCGACATAACGGTACCAAAAGCATATTTTATTGTATAATGGGAAGAGGGACAATTTACTTTCTAGACTCTGAAGAAATATTTCAGCTAATAGAGGGGATAAATTGCTGCCCATAGAATTATTTGTTCAGTATGGCGAACACTATTGACCCATATTTCTGGAGTAACTTGCCTCAGAGACTCTTTCCACATATCCAGAGATTTTTACCACAGAACTCCCATGCTGGCCAACATGATCTCTATAATAAGTTTTGGTGATCCCCATATCATTTCAATTGGGTTGAAAATACAGTGGTATGGTGGAACTCTCAGTACCTGATGACCATACTGTTCTGCAAGAGTGTCTGCCATATAAACAGGGGGTGGCTTGTTCCTAGAAACTAAAGAATATTTTAGCCCTATAGAATATTTATATATTTCATTTCTCCTTGGGCCTCACTGAAAGAAAATCCATAGTGATTGAAAAACTTAAAAACATATCAAATTTACACAAATTTCAATGAAACACACATATTTCACTAACAGAATAATTTCTGTGTGAAAAATGTCATGTGTTTTATTGAATCTTGAATGAGTCAAGTTTTTTTCAATATAAATAATTTCAGTAATTACACAGGGTGTTCCGTTGGGAAACGGAAATACAACTCATTTTATTCCATTTAATAGCAAAATTTTCCTAATTCGATATGGAGAACTGAAAATTCATTCCGTTTTTAGCTATTGATATTCACAAATCCTTCATTGCAGCTTTAGAAATCCAGTAGTAAAATAGCATGCGAAAACATAAAAAATACACAAATCCATTCAACATTTTGTGCTCTGATCAGATATGTAAGCAGATTATGTAAACTCAAACATTTTTGTCAACCCAGGCTTGGAAATTTTTTCTGACGGATATACAAGTCGCTGGGGTAGCAGTGGGAAAACACGTCTACCAAACACCAAAAAAATATACCAGGTGGTACGTATGCCATGAGCTTTCAAAGAAATGACCAGAATTGATAAAACACCCTATATTATCTCGATAATGAAACATGTAAGACCCAACATATGTGGTCATTTTTATCCACTGTTAAAGTATAGCCTACAATTTGACCAAATTCAGTAGCTGTGGCTTCAGCATTGCATAGTCAAAATGAATTCTGTTGTTGGTTAGCCATTCTTGTATGTCTGTTTTTTTTGAGGCTGCAGTGGGAATTCTATTCATCATTGTACTGTGGTAACTCGCATTATCCATAACAATTATTGTGGAAGGTTTTTCCAAATTTTTCAACAATTGATTTTCAAACCAGTGGAGGAAGTTACACAGTAAAAAAACTGTTCGATTTAAATTCGCAGAGTATGTTCTTAGAGTTGACATACTCTGACAAACTCACTCTGATACTGCAATCAACTCTATAACTACACTTCTCGCAAATTATCTTCTTTGAAACTAATTCTGGAGATTCAATTCAATTTACACTAATCCCGTATTGAATTCACTCTATTTTCCTGAAATTTCAATGAAATATCGCAATTCAGATAAATCCAATGCACAAACTATTGGAAATAAGATCATACAAGTGTTAACTGACACTATAGTGAACTTGAATGTCCCACTCTTGTCGATTAAATTGACACTCTATTATTCTTCAACTCAATCTATATACGATGAAATATCAATCTATACAGTTTTATATCGTTTAGTCTATACTAGATAGTAGGTAAAATAAGTAACAATGATTATAGTGTCGATAATATTATGATCATGATATCAACTTCAAGAGTAGCTTTCCTGCTATACCTGCGTTGCAAGTGATTTTTTCAACATTGAAATATTAACGTACTTTCGTATATCTTCTTTTTTCCGTTTTTTTTTCGTTTTGAATCATCATTTCGATTTATGAAACAGATAGGTTAACTAGTTTGTCTAATGCGACTCGAGTCATTTTTCTAATATCAAACGATTGAAATATTATAACTTCACACTACATCTCATCCGTCAATTCGGGCGACTGTATGCAGGTTGCGCTGTCGAGAGTGCCGAGATGTCGCCGCTGAACGTATATAAATACTGTGACTTATGAGAGAATGATTAACATAACTTGGATGAAATCTCAACAGTAATTGTAGTGCCTATAGTTCACTAAACAAGTGTTCTATCAATCTAAAATGATGAATAATTGATAACTCCTCATATTAGCACCTGAACACATAGTAACACTACTAATTTGAACAATGCAGGAGCAATTCGACATTCAGGTAGAGTGAATAATTCAATCAATTTCCGGTGGATTCGAAACTGTTTACAGTGTGAAATCTACTCTCTACTATTATATTCCAACTGTCAACTTTTGTGACTATGTAATAACCATATACGTATAAATAACTATATGGATAACAAGATATCATAGTTGATGCCAGAAATAAAAACAAAAGATAGTCCCCGGGGATTAATAGACTTATGCGCATGCGTCAATTCGAAATTAGAAACGACATGAGTTTGACGATTGCTATACGAATTTGATGCCCTCTTCAGTAAACGTATGATCATTATCGAAAATCGACAGAATTTAGTACATAACCTGAAATTCAATGTTTATATTTTGATATCTGAATCCATTCTGAATCTGAAGCCTCAGACAAGAAATCATGACCGAGACTTCACTGGAATTCATATTTGCGAAGTTTTGGTGGATCTGAGGAAGCAAACAGCTTCAATTCGCGGTTTTGGAACGAGTTTTTTATTGTCTCAGAATACTTCCAATAATGGCCAACAAGTGCAAGACATTATAAACATACAAATGTACAGCTTCCCAACATAATATGCAAAATTATACGAAGTGTGGCAGAACATTACAAAAATTGGGAAGCCCATTTACAAATATATGTGCCTGTCTGTAGCAGATACCTACTTATTCTCAGAAACAGATTATGAAGGTAATTTCTTTCATTTTGAGAAAAATATCTTTACAGTGTTCTATGTAATGTGCTTTTCTTTCAAGTTTCAAGGGATTCCAAATACAATTGCAGAAGTTGGTACATTTTCTGTGATGCAGATTACATACCTCCACAGAATTCACCAATTACAATGCATCAAAATGTAAAACCTGTGATCAATGGATATGAATGGGAAAGAGGAAGGTCACATACATAAAAAAATAGAATATGACTCTAATCCTTCTTCAGCTAAATCAACCAAATCATCCTCGGTAAGAGGATCAAATGAATCTGATAATGACAAAGATGCTGGAAGGATAGAACTTGCTTACCAGAGTGCTGATGCAACTTCCACCAGGACTGATCTTGTGAAAGTGGCTATGATGTTTCCATAGAAAAGACAAGTGCAATTTCAGTAGCCAATCTAATGAATTTTTTTTCACTTTTTCTGTTATAATAAAAAATGTAATGAGTACCTACTCAATTTTGCTTTATTTCAACATATAAACCAGAATATGATTAACACTGTGAATAATTTGAAGCTTCTAATTCTATACAAGGAATAAGAATAAAATGATTATGAAATATCTCCATTATTCTCAATCTCAAGACCATGCTCAAGTGTGATTCTGATAGTAATGGAATCTTTTCAAATGTTGTTTTTCCTGCTTCATTGTAGAAATATAATTATGTAGGGCAGTTGATTTGTTATCTGGAAAATGAATATCAGTTACCTATTTATGGAAGTTAGATATTATATAAGACTTACAATTCACCAAGAATTCAGAATTATTCTTTTTCACCAACAGCATGATTAATTTTGTAGGAACAGTTTCTTCAATCTTTGTCTTCCTTTGATTGTAAAAGCTAGTTACATCACATCTATACCTGACTTTCTTCACCACTTGCTTGGGTGTGAGCTTCACAACTGAATTCTTCCAGTTCTGCAGTTCTTTATGACTACCTAAAAATGTAGTTGACATTTCAGTAAGCAAAAGGATCAATGGAGCATAATTGACTTCATGAGGCTTCAGCATACACAAACCAAGAGTTTCAAATCAGCAGAAGTTTCATCAGCTCAAAGATCTCAAGTTTCTGTATACTTTTCACTTCAACAAATTAACATTATTTCTTGCTTTGTATACCTATTCGTCTTCCACCATCGGCCGATTTTCAAAAGCACTCAAATCGCTGAAATTTCGAAATTAAAATGATTGGAAACAAATGTGGAATGTGGCTCTCATTGTTTTCCCCATTCCACCGACAGCTTTGACATCAATATCAATGCTTTGATGTACTTTTTCTGCTATCGGAGAGGCATCGGAAAGAAACTTCAACAACATAATAATATATGAATGAAATTCAAATGAAATTCTTCCTCCATTTTGACTCGTGAATTTGACAAATTTCGCGCATGCGCAAATAGGTATTTGCACCCGCAGACTGTCATTTGTTTCCTCAAAACTGGCTTCACTTTTGACCATTGGAAACATAGGATGTTATCCGTATATATATTTAGTAGGTATATGGTAATAACTCGGTTATTGAATTTCACTCTAAGGCCCGGTTTCACCAGTGGCGAAATAATCTCAGTTCAGGTAAGCTACGTTTAAGTTAAACGAAGGATTTAATCTCGATTATCATCATAGCCGTTTCTTGACGTACATATCATCTCTTCAAGGGCACGTTTACTTAAACTCAAAATTGACAAGGCAACAGTGTAGAATTACCATGAATAAGTAATATCTTCTGGAAAATAAACGTTCTGTGAGTCCTCTTGACAACTGACGACTTATTACTTATTATAACCTCCCAAGGTCCCAAGTTTGTTTATATTATACGAAGTTTGTTTTCGTTCTTTTTTAGTTTTTTTTAAATGTGTTTTCATTAGTTGAAGAATGGATAAACAAGACCATTTGAAAAATAAGTTCTCGATTGAGAAGAAAGAGCGCGAGCGGAAAAAGAGAGAGACCAATTTCAGTATTGCAGAAAAATCTCTTCTGGTGGACTTAGTTGAGGCTCGTTTTAGCATTATCGAAAGCAAGCGAACCGATGCTATTAGTGTGAAGCACAAAAACAAAGAATGGGAAGAAATTGCTTTGGATTTCAATTCTCAAAACATAAATGTGATTAGAACTTGGTCCACTCTTAAAAATGCATGGGAGAACCTGAAGAAATTAATCAAGAAACTAATCACACAAGAAAACGTTAACAGAGTTAGAACAGGTAAGCTCAATTGATGGGGTTCTTTATTCAAATAATTTGTATGAGCAACTTATCAGAATTCACCCATGTAATTCTGTCCTAGGTGGAGGACCACCAGTAATTTTTACTAATATCCGCCCTGAAGAGAGACCTGTTTATGAGAAAGTTAGGGCCCTCCTTTATCCTGTGGCTATTGGTCTGCACAATAAATTTGATAATGATGTACTTATGTCAAATGGTGAGTAATGTTTTGGTCAGTACTATGAATATTATAGATATACAATGATCATTTCCTTTCTCACAGGTGAGTATGATATGGAAGGTGGACATGAAGTGCAAGATGAAAATAGTTATCAAAATGTAAGTAGAGAAATAGAAAATCACTCTATTTTCCTAGATATTGCTTGTTTTCAAAGGATATGTTATTTCAGGAGGAATCAATTGATGGAGTGCAAGATGAAAATATTTATCAAAATGTAAGTAAAATTAGAAGTAGAGAATCACTCTATTTTTCCTAGATATTGCTTGTTTTCAAACCATCTATCATTTCAGGAGGAATCAATCAATGGAGATTGGTCATCATACTCATCTGCCAAGTTGAGGACACCTCGAACCAAAATATTAGGGAAGTTTCCTATATGTCCAGTAAATAATGGACATGCTGATGTGGATATTGATCAATTCATATGTTCTCAAGAGGATGTTGAGTAGATACGCATAATTGAAACAAATGGAGATGATTCATCACCAAATACCTATGTTCTGGAAATCCCATCACAGCCTGTGTCATCTGCTTCAGACACCACCCCTCGCCATAAAAAAGCAAAAACCAAAGTAGCCTCTGAATCATCAAGTGCTTTCGAAATCTCTAATAAGCCTTCATTAAAATCTTTATGCTCTGCTAAGTCCACTGATAAATCCCCAAGTACAAGGCACCTGTCTACAAGTCGGAGACGACCAATCATATCTCAAACAAAAAATGAGGAGTTTGCAGATGCAAAAATAAAGGCTCTTTCAGCTGCTAATGAATATGCAGCCGAACAGCATGGAATTATCATGGAGATATACAAGGAAAAAATGAAACAAGAAAGTTTGGCAACACAGATCATGGAAGAAAAGCTTAAAACTCTGAAGAGGAGGAATAGTGTGCTGCCAAGATCTGATGAAGGTGATAGTTCTTGAGGAAATACATCAACTTTGATTTAATAATAACTACTATGTATTATTGGGTATGTGGGCTATTTATTTGTCTGCAAATGATGTTTTGTACCTGATCACCAGATTCTGTTGTGATTTCATTTTTTTAGGAATATTTGAGAAGAATATGTTTTGTTTCCATTTATTTCAAATATGTGAATATATATTATTTTTTTCCCATAAAGGAACAAGAATACAACTTGATCAAAGCTACCAAAGATATGATTATGAATTACCAATCATTAGGTTTTGAATCTGAATGAAAGTGTAAGATCATAATAAGTGATATTATAATAATTATCTTATTATGTTGTTCCTACTAGCTTTATAGGTGTTTGCAGCAATGTTAAGTTGTTTTTGAAGTGGAATATTTGTCGCTCTTCAATAAATATATTTGAATATATCTCTTTGCATTCTTTATCTTATATTATACAGGGTGTTTCAGAATTGTGGTGACAAAAGCTTAGTTTTTTTTAATATCAAAATTAAAAGGCTTTTTCCCTATGTATGTATATAATTAATTCTACAATTTTTGTATAAACATTATATAATATGCTCCAAAAGAATTTATACAGTGTCTCAGGTCTAACTCATCTAACTTTCACAATTGATAGCAACAATTAAAATATTATACACGTATTTTTTTTTGTTTTGTCGTGGAGACACTTGTTTTCATTTGGGAATTTTATTCAGCTCCTTCTCCAGCCTCCCTCAGTTGCCTCTCAACTGCAACAATAAGTCTTAAAAAAACAAAGCAATCAGCCCCTTTAAACAAAATGGTGAGTCAACAAAATGGGCCTCTTGAATTGGAATTCTCTCTTGATTTTTTTGTTCTTAGATGAACATGAAAATTCAATACAAGTTGTTCCATGCAAAAAAAGTATTCATATCCGTGAATAGGAAAAAAACAAGAGGAAGTCCTATTATAAGAGGAGCACACTGAACTAATAAAAGAACAAACCTTGTAAAGTACTGATTTACAATGTTACGTCTCTCACGAAAATTCGGGTTTTCCCGTCTAGGAGCCCCTTGCCTCATAGGGTCATGCTCTATATCCTCTTGGGCTAGAAGTACATCCCATGGAGCAGGAAGCTCCAACTCAGGGTCATCTGGTGGTACTTCTTCCCCTCGGCGCCGCAAAATATTGTGGAGTACTGCAGCAGCCACAATTATTGGAAAAACTTTGTCTAGCTTCACTCTAATTCCCAAAGCCAAGACAGGAAAACGCCTTTTCCAAACACCAAATAATCTCTCAACAGGAGTTCTGGTCCTAATGATAGACTCATTAAAGAGTTGTTCAGCTGCAGTTTCACAGTGATCAAAAAGAGTCATCATGTAGCTCTGGCAGGCATAACCACTGTCCCCCACAAGAACACCATCTCCATATATTCCATCATCAAAGAGTACTTTTCGATAACAATTATTGAAAATGTGGGAATCATGAGTACTTCCAGGCCACCTTGCAACAATATCTGTGAACTCTAGTTTAGCATTACATATTCCTTGAACGTTCAAAGAAAAAAAGCCCTTCCTATTGCGGAATAACTCAGCATTTGGTCCACCTATAAAAAATATCCACCTGAATTAAAGTCATACAGGATTAACATACAGAAAAAGTATACAGTTTGTAATGTTTCTCATCTGTTTATCAGTACATAATAAAGTGACCAATAGGTACACAGAATTCCTAGAAAGATTTTATAGTTATTTTGAAGTACATTGGGAAGAAGTGAATTTCACATACCTGGAGTTTGGATTTTGATATGAGTACAGTCAATGGCACCTAGAACTCTTGGAAAACTAGCGATTCTAAAAAAGTCTATTTGTGTCCTGCGCCTTTCCTCTTGGGTGTCTGGAAAGGTGATATGCAGAGGCAGCAATGTGGCTATAGCTGTACTGACTCTGTGAATTATTCTGTGTGCAGTAGATTTGCTGAAACCCCCAAAGTCTCCGGCAGTCAATTGATGACAACCAGTAGCATAATACCGCAAAGTACACAACAACTGATTTATGGGTGAGATTGAATTATTCCTGAAACAACAAAGTGGAAGGTACACATGTGATGATTTAAACTGAATTCATGATTTATTATTTACCTATTATAGGTATACTTACCGGTCATTTGGGTGTTCCAGTTGGTCCTCTATAGATTCCAAAACTTGGATAGCCGCTTCCTTTGAGAGTCTAAATCTCACTGCAAAATCTATATCATCTAAACTGTTGAAGTAGTCTTCTCTCTCCCGTATCCAACGGGCACGTCGCACTAAAAATTCATCATCCTCATCGTCTTCGAAAGCAAGGTCATATAGTCGATGTAAAGCTGCCATTATCTCATATATAACAAAAATTTCAACACACAAGCAATCACAAAAGACCACAACACAACCATATAACTACAACTGCAACTACATAACCTTGTTTTTCATTTTAAAATTTGACACTTATGTCAGATATTGCGCGATTATATTCCGTAACTGGTGAAAAATGGCCAGCTGAGAAATAATCCCGATTAATCGAGATAATCGGTGATTCTGGTATGGTGAAACGGTTTGAATTAGTAATGGCGATTAAATCTGTCAGTTAACTCCAAAACCGAGATTAGATCCATTGGTGAAACCGGGCCTTAAGTGATGTTATTGACACTTAACTATAAATCTTGGTGGTCCTCCTGCGAACAGGTATAGTGTTTAATTTCCACTCTATTGTTTTCACTGTGTATGTTGGTTCATTTCTCCATGGTAATCTTCATGTTTAGTTCTTGAAGAAAATACTAATTCTGCAACAGGAATGAATCCGTCATCACATCCAGCATGTAGGACGATGAGAATCATAAAAAATACCTGGAACCTCCTATTTTGTTATTTTTTCACACTTTTGACATTGAAATCTTGCCATGAGTGTCCTAATGTACCATCCTGGAAGATCCAGGTCTCATCAAGAAGAACAAATTGTCTCAAACCTCCATTTTTCAATTGGCAGTATGTCTGCAGGAACCTAATACGCTTCACTACAATGTGAGGTAGTCCCATCATTCCTCTTCGTGGATCATCTTTCCTGAACTTGAAACCAATATTTTTCAACACTTTCCAGAGAGATGTGATGCCTCCATTGAAGAGATAACGTTCAGCTAGTTTATCTCTCAATGTTTTTAATGTGATGTGTTCCTCTATTCGAAATCAAACACACATGTATTACCTAAAATGATCATTAATTTCCAGTGAAAATACTTACTGTTCTTATACATGTCATAGATACAATTCCTAATTGCGACTTATTCACCATCATTAATAAGGTCTAAAATGGGTTTTTCTCTTTGTCTGTTCTTGGGCCAGCCAAATCATTACCATGTTCCTGTTTGGCAGATATTCTCCATACAGTAGCGATATACTTATTTTTGATGCAGCAGCTACTCTAATTCAGACAAATCATATTTGGATCATTCGGACAACACAAAATATCATTATTAATACCATCATTCATCTAACATCTCTCACAGCAGTTAGTGGAAGTAATGATGGGCCATCGTTATCACGTTCATTTTTGAAATATCAATGATACCACCATCTTCTGCGCCTCCGCACTGAATGGTTTAAGCATTTTGAATAAATCGAATTTCAACTATGATCCACAAATAAGTCACAGACAATTCCTTGAAAGTACAAATTGTCATTAATGAATAATTCGCAGAGATCAGCTGTTCACAACAAATCGCTTCTAGAAATGTCAAATAAATCTGGCATCGGTGTACAGTTTTGCCAACTTAAATCGATAACGCGGTTCGCCCATTTCGAAATTTACAAGTATTTTTCGATGTGCAGTTTCGGCACGACAGTGTTACCAAGTATTGCGCAACTATCAACCCAGCGTGAAAACCCTTTAGTGAGATGTACATGAACCATTCTCAGGAATATATTGTACGACAGTATAACGAAACGGTCAACTTTTCTTTGGTGACAATAATTCCTCTAATCAATAATTGGAAGGAAAAAACTGTCACTCAGAATTTTATCAAATCAGATAAACATCAAGTTCATTTCATCACACAAAAGAAGATTGCTCTTAGTCCGAATCATGATAAGAGATATATTATCCCAGGAATTGATGAAACGTTACCATGGGGGCACTATTCAATCGATGAAGATATTGTGGAATATGGTTCATGAATTGATGGAGATATCTCAAGAATTATTGTGTATATACAGGCTGATTTTAAAATAAGTGCATATATTCAAGACATATATATGAGAGAATCTAACGAAAATTACTAAAATATTTGATTTTTCCTAAGTCTTCACATCAACGAGAAATTTCATTTTGAAAATTGAACATAAAATGCTTCGAAATTCGAGTACGCCACTGGGAAGCAAGTGAAATCTGCGGAATCCCAGGGAATCCCCAATTCGTCATTCACTAACGTCAAAACAAGACAGTGATGCCAGATTGTTTCAGAGACGAATATCCTGATATAAATTTGTCACAGAATGAATATGAATTGGAATAGGTTATGGAAACTAATAGAGGTGAATTTAATATGTACAGGAGCCTTATTTTTTAAAGTTCACTGAGAGAACTGTGGGGTGATCATCTCCATGGATCACGAGAGACGGAGAGAAACATGAGGGGAATGATAGAACGTCCCCCTTCCTTCAATTCGAAAATAAGGCCCCAGCGGGTAGATACAAAATTAGCAGACAATAAATAGGTACACAACATACACAAAGTTGAAAATCGACTCACCTAGTAGATTTTCTCATACCTGCTCGAACAGCAAAACTCCCGAGAGCAAACAAATACTAATATCGAGTCCATTCCAGACTAATATCGTCCTGTGTTCTTGTTGGTTCATATTCGCACTTAAACCATCGAAAACGACTCGACGACGACATATCCTTCCTGGCAATCTCACATTGAAAATCACGATCACGACCGTATCACGATTATCACGACACAAGACACAACATCCAATTATTTTATTTTTTATTTCA